TGCATGCACAACAGACACGCCTCTTACTATCTACTATCTTAAAATCTGGAATTGCCGTCAAAGTCGGTTCGCGAAAAAACCACGACCCCCTATACGTGGTGAAAATTTCGAAAATTTCGAAAAGTTTTTTTGCCATATCTCCTTAAGCAGCCAATGGACATTACGACGTGGTTGTTCGTTGCTGATGTTATGATTTTCAGAAGGTGAGATTTAGACCAGAATCTGAAAAGTTTTGGTCGATATCTAGCGATGCTCTAACGGCGATGAAATACGAGTTGCAGGAAGGCACGAAAACAATTAATGCGATTGTTAAGTACGTTTTATTAAGTGTATGCTAATATTTCTTCTCATCATTATTATTGCGTTTCGTATCATAATCAATGCTGTTGTTAAAGATTACAATTTGTACGTCCACGGAGTGGTGATAAGAAGGAACCAACGGTGCATTCGAGTATGATAACGATTCCGCTGCAAAAGGATTCGGTCACTCGGAACAGTTTGATTGCGTTGCTTGATGGTGCCACTTCAAATACTAGTGTTAGTAGTTAGTCGATTTGCTTGATTTCAGTCGTCTTATTTCACTGTTTCAGACAGACACGAAACGTACACATTTGAAATAGTTTGCTGGAAAGTAGAGTGCGATTGCTGTGAAAAATGATTGTTGTGGTGTGATGTTGCTGAAACGAATGATAAATCTTGTTCTTTGCAGGTAACACTCAAGAATTCGTTACCTCCGTATGTGATCGTGCCGAATGAAGGTGAGATTAAAGCACCACCGGCTCTGTTGGCAGTTATGCATGGATCGTCGTTGTTCTCGAGAGTGGATGAGACCTACTCTGATTTGGTTATGAAGCTGAAACCCAACAATGAATTGGTAATGGATCGTTCTCTTGGTTTGGCTGTTCTTTATTTACTGGCGTCGTTTCTTTTGAATAATAATAATAATAATAAAAGAAAGATAGTTATGGATGGCAATAGGATGGTGATAATGCAGTAAATTTTAGACAGACATGTTGTGGTCAGTTGAATTGGACGAAGATAATGTAACGAAAGCGTTGACGTTACCGTTGGATCACGTTAAATACGGTGATGACCACTCGCTGCAATATGTGCAGATGGTGGCGTTCGTGGATCGCGTTTTTCCGTCGTTTGTCACAAAATATGTTCAAGGAGGGTCGGTTTTATTATTTTTATTATATTTTTATTATTGTTATTATTGATGGTGTTGTTGTTATTGTTTGATTATTATGTGGTATTGTATATATGGTTGATGTTTTTTATTATTTGTTATTTTATTGTTCAGTATAATAGCGATGTATCTTGCGGTTGTGCTATTGGTGGGACGTTTGATTCGTGGCATCGTAACGAACGCTCCACTGGATGTGATCATTTCGGAGATACCAAATCCAGATTATCTTTTGAAGATCTGTTTGGATATCTATTTGGTTCGTGAGGCGAAGGATTTCGTCTTGGAACAGGTCAGTGAGCTAGCTCATTTATTACTTTATTTTATCGTATTTATTCCTTTATTCGCTATTTATTTCATTTAATTTTATGCAATTGCTTGCAGGATTTGTTCGCGAAATTGATATTTTTATTCCGTTCGCCGGCCACACTCATCAAGTGGACACGATTTAAAGCGAAAACTGATTAATAATCAATAATATTGATTTGTTTTGTTGTTTAATTCGTTGTCATTATATTTTATTGTTGATGGTGATGATGTTTGCTTTATTTGTTTTTGTGCATTTTACAATTCGAATGGCTTCCGAATGGAAGCAAACCAAATTCTGCAATCATTTACTTCAGTTGTATCCTATTGAATCGGCTTAAAGCTTTAAACGTTACGTTACACATTTTGATATTATTGCTTTATGTTACGCATTATTATTATATGATATCCGCATTGTTTTATATTATGGTTGATGCTGTTTTAATTGATGCTTTTCGAGTCATCCTCTTGCCTCATTATCATACTGTTATCATTATCATTATCCTTATTCTATTCTTTTTATTATTCATACTTTTTATTATTATTATTATACATTATTATCTATACATTTACTTATTTACTATATAAATTATTTTATAATTGAAAACCGGTCACTTTCTTGTTGTATAATGTGTAATTTTATAAAAATATTATGGGTTATTAAGTATTGGTGATTAAAATACGCTCAAACAATAGTATTTCTATAGGCTAATCTAGGTGTCCTGCTTTACTGTGCGCTTAATATCAATGTAATAATAATTATTATTATTATAATTTTAACTACTTTCGTTGCTGTTATTGTTTATTATCATTATTGTGATCGATATTTTCAAGTGATTGCGGGAGCGCACGCGGGCGAATGTTTTCTTATGTTTTGATAATGATAATGCTTGTGTTATTGATTGATTATGGAGTTAATTAATGATAATGATAATTATGTATGGTAATGATACGATGATTTTGCATTATTCAGTTTGAAGCTTTTATTGTTTGAAACAATGTTCATTTGATTTCTTGTTGTTGTGATTTTTTTATTATTGTGCTTTATCTTTATTATTATTATGATTATTATGATAATTATATTTATAATTATTATAATTATTATGATTATTATAGTTATTATTGTAATTATTATAATTATAACAACTATTATTATTATTATCTCATTCGAATGAATACTTTTCTGCGTAGTTTAGTTTGCTGTGACCATAAGGGTTTATTTGATGAACTTTACTTAGTATATTTTGGTACGTTCCTCTGAATTTAGATTCACGAGTCTATCGTAAAGGTAGGTGAA